GAGTGAGTGAGTGAGCGGGTGAGTGAGTGGGTGGGTGAGCGGGTGAGTGAGTGGGTGAGCGGGTGAGTGGGTGAGCGGTTGAGTGAGTGGGTGAGCGGGTGAGTGAGTGGGTGAGCGGGTGAGTGAGTGGGTGAGCGGTTGAGTGAGTGGTTAAGTGAGTGGGTGAGCGGGTGAGTGAGTGGGTGAGCGGGTGAGTGGGTGAGCGGGTGAGCGGTTAAGTGAGTGGGTGAGCGGGTGAGTGAGTGGGTGAGCGGTTAAGTGAGTGGGTGAGTGGTTAAGTGAGTGGGTGAGCGGTTGAGTGAGTGGGTGAGCGGTTAAGTGAGTGGGTGAGCGGTTAAGTGAGTGGGTGAGCGGGTGAGTGAGTGGGTGAGTGGTTAAGTGAGTGGGTGAGCAGTTAAGCGAGTGGGTGAGCGGTTAAGCGAGTGGGTGAGCGGTTAAGTGGTTAAGTGAGTGATTAAGTGAGTGGGTGAGCAGTTGAGTGGTTAGGTGAGTGGGTGAGTAGTTAAGTGAGCGGGTAAATGGTTAAGTGAGTGGTTAGGTGAGTGGCTAGGTGAGTGGGTGAGTGGTTAAGTGAGTGGGTGAGCGGTTGAGTGGTTAAGTGAGTGGTTAAGTGGTTAAGCGAGTGGTTAAGTGAGTGGGTGAGCGGTTAAGTGAGTGGGTGAGCAGTTAAGTGAGTGGTTAAGTGGTTAAGCGAGTGGTTAAGTGAGTGGGTGAGTGGTTAAGTGAGTGGGTGAGCGGTTAAGTGAGTGGGTGAGCGGGTGAGTGAGTGGGTGAGCGGTTAAGTGAGTGGGTGAGCGGGTAAGTGAGTGGGTGAGCGGGTGAGTGAGTGGGTGAGCGGTTGAGTGTGTGGTTAAGTGAGTGGGTGAGTGGTTAAGTGAGTGGGTGAGTGGGTGAGTGAGTGAGTGAGTGGGTGAGTGAGTGAGTGGGTAAGCGGGTGAGTGGGTGAGCGGTTGAGTGAGTGGGTGAGCGGTTAAGTGAGTGGGTGAGCGGGTGAGTGAGTGGGTGAGCGGTTAAGTGAGTGGGTGAGCGAGTGGGTGAGCGGTTAAGTGAGCGGGTGAGTGAGTGGGTGAGCGGTTAAGTGAGTGGGTGAGCGGTTAAGTGAGTGGGTGAGCGGGTGAGTGAGTGGGTGAGCGGTTGAGTGAGCGGGTGAGTGGTTAAGTGAGTGGGTGAGCGGTTGAGTGAGTGGTTAAGTGAGTGGGTGAGCGGTTAAGTGAGTGGTTAAGTGAGTGGGTGAGCGGTTAAGTGAGTGGTTAAGTGAGTGGGTGAGCGGTTAAGTGAGTGGTTAAGTGAGTGGGTGAGCGGTTAAGTGAGCGGTTAAGTGAGTGGGTGAGTGGTTAAGTGAGTGGGTGAGCGGTTGAGTGAGTGGTTAAGTGAGTGGGTGAGCGGTTAAGTGAGTGGTTAAGTGAGTGGGTGAGCGGTTAAGTGAGTGGGTGAGCGGTTGAGTGAGTGGGTGAGCGGTTAAGTGAGTGGGTGAGCGGTTAAGTGAGTGGTTAAGTGAGTGGGTGAGCGGTTAAGTGAGTGGTTAAGTGAGCGGGTGAGCGGTTAAGTGAGTGGGCGAGTGATTAAGTGAGTGGGTGAGTGGTTAAGTGAGTGGGTGAGTGAGTGTGTGAGCGGTTGAGTGGGTGAGTGGTTAAGTGAATGAGTGAGTGAGTGGTTAAGCAAGCGGTTGAGTGAGTGGGTGAGCGGTTGAGTCAGTGGGTGAGCGGTTAAGTGAGTGGGTGAGCGGTTGAGTGAGTGGTTAAGTGAGTGGTTAAGTGAGTGGTTAAGTGAGTGGGTGAGTGGTTAAGTGAGTGAGTGAGTGGTTAAGCGAGCGGTTGAGTGAGTGGGTGAGCGGTTGAGTGAGTGGGTGAGCGGTTAAGTGAGTGGGTGAGCGGTTGAGTGAGTGGGTGAGCGGTTAAGTGAGTGGGTGAGCGGTTGAGTGAGTGGGTGAGCGGTTGAGTGAGTGGGTGAGTGGTTAAGTGAGTGGGTGAGCGATTAAGTGAGTGGGTGAGCGGTTGAGTGGTTAAGTGAGTGGGTGAGTGGTTAAGTGAGTGGGTGAGCGGTTAAGTGAGTGGGTGAGCGGTTGAGTGAGTGGGTGAGCGGTTAAGTGAGTGGGTGAGCGGTTAAGCGAGTGGGTGAGCGGTTAAGCGAGTGGGTGAGCGGTTAAGTGAGTGGGTGAGCGGTTAAGTGAGTGGGTGAGCGGTTAAGTGAGTGGGTGAGCGGTTAAGTGGTTAAGTGAGTGGTTAAGTGGTTAAGTGAGCGGGTAAATGGTTAAGTGAGTGATTAAGTGAGTGGGTGAGCAGTTGAGTGATTAAGTGAGTGGGTGAGTGGTTAAGTGAGCGGGTAAATGGTTAAGTGAGTGGTTAGGTGAGTGGCTAGGTGAGTGGTTAAGTGAGTGGGTGAGCGGTTGAGTGGTTAAGTGGTTAAGCGAGTGGTTAAGTGGTTAAGCGAGTGGTTAAGTGAGTGGGTGAGCGGTTAAGTGAGTGGGTGAGCAGTTAAGTGAGTGGTTAAGTGGTTAAGCGAGTGGTTAAGTGAGTGGGTGAGTGGTTAAGTGAGTGGGTGAGCGGTTAAGTGAGTGGGTGAGCGGTTGAGTGGTTAAGTGAGTGGTTAAGTGGTTAAGCGAGTGGTTAAGTGAGTGGGTGAGCGATTAAGTGAGTGGGTGAGTGGTTAAGTGAGTGGGTGAGCGGTTAAGTGAGTGGTTGAGTGAGTGGTTGAGTGAGTGGTGGAGTGAGTGAGTGGGTGGATGAGTGAGTTAGTGGGTGAGTGAGTGAGTGGGTGACTCAGTGAGTGAGTGACTGAGTAAGTAAGTGAGTGGGTGGATGAGTGAGTGACTGAGTGGGTGGATGGGTGAATGGGCGAGTTAGTGGGTGAGTGGGTGGTTGAATGAGTGGGTGAGTGAGTGAATGGGTGAGTTAGTGGGTGAGTGAGTGGGTGGGTGAGTGAGTGGGTGGATGAGTAAGTGAGTGGGTGAGTGAGTTGGTGGATGAGTGAGTGAATGGGTGAGTGGGTGACTTAGTGAGTGAGTGGGTGACTCAGTGAGTGGGTGGGTGGGTGAATGAGTGAATAGGCGAGTTAGTGGGTGAGTGGGTGGTTGAATGAGTGGGTGGTTGAATGAGTGGGTGAGTGAGTGAATGGGTGAGTTAGTGGGTGAGTGAGTGGGTGGGTGAGTGAGTGGGTGGATGAGTGAGTGAGTGGGTGAGTGAATGGGTGGATGAGTGAGTGAGTGGGTGAGTGAGTGGGTGAGTGAGTGGGTGAGTGCGTGAATGGTTGAGTGATTGAATGAGCGGGTGGGTGACTGAATGAGTGAGTGAACGAAACACCGCGGCATGCAAATGAGATGCTAATCACGCGAGAAAGGCGACGCGTCACCCATTGTGGATGCCACGCCCCCAACCACTCCCCCCTCATTCACTTCTCACTCGCTACCACCCGCGAGTGAGTGAGTGACTCATACAGTGGGTGAGTGACTCATACAGTGGGTGAGTGAGTGACTCATACAGTGAGTGACTGCGTGAGGGACTCATACAGTGGGTGAGTGGGTGACTCATACAATGGTTGAGTGAGTGGGTGAGTGAGTGGTTGAGTGTGAGTGAGTCTTTGAGTGGTTTAGTGAGTGACTCATACAGTGGGTGAGTGAGTGACTCGGTGAGTGACTCATACAGTGGGTGAGTGAGTGACTCATACAGTGGGTGAGTGAGTGACTCATACAGTGGGTCAGTGAGTGACTGACTCATACAGTGGATCAGTGAGTGGGTGAGTGAGTGGTTGAGTGAGTGACTCATACAGTGGGTGAGTGACTGACTGAGTGACTGACTGACTGAGTGAGTGATTGAGCTAGTGACTGAGTGAGTGACTGAGCGAGTGACTCTGAGTGAGTGACTGAGTGAGTGACTGACTGCGTAAGCGAGTGACTGACTGAGTGACTGAATGAGTGAGTGACTGACTGACTCACTGACTGAGTGACTGACCGAGTAAGTGAGTGACTGACCGAGTGAGTGACTGACTGAGTGAGTGACTGAGTAACTGAGTGACTGAGTTAGTAAGCAAGTGAGTGACTGACTGAGTAAGCAAGTGAGTGACTGAGTGACTGAATGAGTGAGTGACTGAGTAACTGAGTGACTGACTGAGTAACTGACTGAGTGACTGACTGAGTGAGTAACTGACTGACTGAGTGACTGACTAAGTAACTGACTGAGTGAGTAACTGACTGAGTGACTGACTGAGTAACTGACTGAGTGAGTAACTGACTGAGTGACTGACTGAGTGACTGACTGAGTGACTGACTGAGTAACTGACTGAGTGAGTAACTGACTGAGTGACTGACTGAGTAACTGACTGACTGAGTAACTGACTGAGTGAGTAACTGACTGAGTGACTGACTGACTGAGTGACTGACTGACTGAGTGACTGACTGAGTGGCTGAGTTACTGAGTGACTGACTGATTGAGTAAGCGAGTGAGTGACTGATTGAGTAACTGACTGATTGAGTTACTGAGTAACTGACTGATTGAGTTACTGAGTGACTGACTAACTGAGTGAGTGACTGAGTGAGTAACTGACTGATTGAGTTACTGAGTGACTGACTGAGTGAGTAACTGACTGAGTGACTGACTGAGTGGCTGAGTTACTGAGTGACTGAGTAAGCGAGTGAGTGACTGATTGAGTAACTGAGTGACTGACTGAGTAACTGACTGAGTGACTGAGTGAGTAACTGACTGATTGAGTGACTGACTGATTGAGTTACTGAGTGACTGACTGATTGAGTAACAGACTGAGTTACTGAGTGACTGACTGAGTAACTGACTGATTGAGTGACTGACTAACTGAGTGAGTGACTGAGTGAGTAACTGACTGATTGAGTTACTGAGTGACTGAATAACTAAGTGAGTGACTGAGTGAGTGACTGACTGAGTGACTGACTGAGTTACTGAGTAAGCGAGTGAGTGACTGATTGAGTAACTTGACTGATTGAGTTACTGAGTGACTGACTGAGTGAGTAACTGACTGATTGAGTGACTGACTGAGTGAGTGACTGGTTGAGTGACTGAGTGACTGAGTGAGTGACTGACTGACTGATTAAGTGACTCACCCACACCACCACCATCACTTATCTCCCGCCACGATCCTCCTCCTCATCACGTCCGGGAAGGATCAAGATCAGCCATGGACGAGACCGCCTCCTGTACAGGTTAGCGCTCTAATTAACACATCTTCATAAAGCCCCCTCACAACATACTCGCGATGTTAGTAGCCTCCTTAAACAATAACAACAATAACATTACGCAGCGTAACAAAGCCAAGATACATTGTTAACAAACGGGGGCCTTTTTAAACTTCGCCTCCCCGAAATTGTCCGGATTCGTGTGGGCGCCGCACGCAAAGTTTGAGAGAGAGACGGAGAGATTTGATGTTAGTTATTGTAAATGTGTTTAAAAGTTGTGAAGAGGAGGGGGGGGTTGAGGGGACTTAAGGCGCTGATTATGTCCGTGTCTTTTGGTTTGTTTACGATGTTAAAAGTGTTGATTTTGTCGGAAAGTGTGAGGGAGAAAATGTTGCGTTTTAGTGTCGATTTGTGTTGATTTTGTCGGAAAGTGTGAGGGAGAAAATGTTGCGTTTTAGTGTCGATTTGTGTTGATTTTGTCGGAAAGTGTGAGAGAGAAAATGTGTTTTAGTGTCGATTTGTGTTGATTTTGTTGAAAGTGTGAGGGAGAAAATGTGTTTTAGTGTCGATTTGTGTTGATTTTGTCGAAAGTGTGAGGGAGAAAATGTGTTTTAGTGTCGATTTTGTTGAAAGTGTGAGGGAGAAAATGTGTTTTAGTGTCGATTTGTGTTGATTTTGTTGAAAGTGTGAGGGGGAATGTTGTTGTTTGGGTGACGTTTTAGTGTCGATTTGTGTTGATTTTGTTGAAAGTGTGAGGGGAATGTTGTGTGGGTGACGTTTTAGTGTCGATTTGTGTTGATTTTGTTGAAAGTGTGAGGGGACTGTTGTTGTGTGGGTGACGTTTTAGTGTCGATTTTGTTGAAAGTGTGAGGGGAATGTTGTTGTGTGGGTGACGTTTTAGTGTCGATTTGTGTTGATTTTGTTGAAAGTGTGAGGGGAATGTTGTGTGGGTGTCGTTTTAGTGTCGATTTGTGTTGATTTTGTTGAAAGTGTGAGGGGAATGTTGTGTGGGTGTCGTTTTAGTGTCGATTTGTGTTGATTTTGTTGAAAGTGTGAGGGGAATGTTGTGTGGGTGTCGTTTTAGTGTCGATTTGTGTTAATTTTGTCGAAAGTGTTAAGTCCCCTCTACCCTCCCCCCTCCTCTTCACAACTCTCGATACTTTAGCGTGGACGTCTTTATTTAAATGTTTCGCGTTTATTCAAAGTGTGAGGAGGTGGTGGTGGTGAGGGTAGGGGTAGGGTTGGAAACTACGAGGCGACTTGTCCACGTCGTCACCTTTATTTTACGGTCTTCGTGTTTATTTAATCATTTTCGTGAGGACAAAACAAAAACCTCGCACTTTGCCCGTTTTATTTACGATTTTTAGTGTTAAAGTTGTTCAAAGAGGCGAGCGGCAAAAACAAAACAAAAAACTTAACAACACTTTTTTTCTCGGTTCTAACTTCGATCGTTTAAACAACTTTAAGCAACTTTTAAGCAACTTTAACCCACGTTACAGTCACCGTACTGTAGAACCGCACTGTACGCCAAAGCCCGCGGCTGATTTCGACGATAAAAATGTTTTATTTTTAATAATAATAAAAAAATACACGATCGCTTTTCGCTCTGCCCGGCCCCCTTCTAACGGAGCCTTTAAAGTGCCGTTCGGTTTTGGGTTAGAAAAAAACTTTTAAACGCCCGGCTTTTTTAAAAAATAAAAAAATATATTTTAAAAAAACGCATACAGTGGACACTTTGACGCCAACATTAACATCGCGCATAAATTATGCAAACACGCCCCACCCCTTCCCGCCCCCCAATTGGACAACAGGCAATCGGCGATCTCCCGCATATATTATGCAAATGAAGCCCTACAAAAACTAAAGGGCGGGGGGGCAAATTGCGCATAGATTATGATAATTTATGTTAATGGTACCCGACCACCCTGTTCAAAGTCTGGCCAAAGTTTTGGTTCCACTTCCTGCATTGTTCTGACGTGGAGTCTTGAATCGCACGCTCGCTAAGAACAATAAACAGCTCCTCACCCACCCACTCGCTCACCAACTCGCTCAACAACTCACTCACCAACTCGCCCACTCACCAACTCGCCCACTCACCAACTCGCCCACTCACCAACTCGCCCACTCACCAACTCGCCCACTCACCAACTCGCCCACTCACCAACTCGCCCACTCACCAACTCGCCCACTCACCAACTCGCCCACTCACCAACTCGCCCACTCACCAACTCGCCCACTCACCAACTCGCCCACTCACCAACTCGCCCACTCACCAACTCGCCCACTCACCAACTCGCTCACTCACCAACTCGCTCACCAACTCGCTCACCAACTCGCTCACCAACTCACTCACCAACTCGCTCACTCACCAACTCGCTCACCCACTCACAAACTCGCTCACCAACTCACCCACCCACCCACTCACCCACCCATCCACTCACCCACCCACCCACTCACCCACCCACTCACCCACCCACCCACTCACTCACCCACCCACTCACCCACCCACTCACCCACCCACTCACTCACCCACCCACTCACTCACCCACTCACCCACCCACTCACCCACTCACTCACCAACTCGCTCACCAATTCACTCACCAACTCACCCACTCACTCACCAACTCGCTCACTCACTCACCAATTCACTCCGACTGATGGTGTCGAGTGAACTCGTGCAGCCAGCTATGGCTCTAGGATTTGGTGTTACATGTTATAATTTATGTAGTTTATTGTAAAAATTCGCTCACAGTCCCTGTGATCACTGTTACGTTGCAATTATGGCTTTATTTTTTGGTGATTTCGAAAACAAGTTTTGGTTTGGACATGTTTGTTTTGTTGTAGTACAGAGTTTAGACCGATGGCCTTAATCTAAGTTGTCTTGTGGTTGTTGTTATTGTTGTGTGACTTGCATCCCACTGGGATTTTTTTGCACGCAGCGTTGGTGTAACGGTGCTTTTTTCAGGAATATTTTGCTGTGTTTTTTTTGCATGGATTTTCTGTTTGCACAGTCAACACGTAGTCACTTGAAGATGTTTTTTCTTGTTCGTGTTTTTGTTTTTTTTTGCTTGTTGTGGTTGCACTCCGATTCAAGAGCCGAATGGCTCACAGGGCTATACCAAAATAAATAAACTGGAAAAAAAAACTGAAACTGAAACCAACTCACTCACCAACTCACTCACTCACTAACTCATCAAGTCAGTCACACAGTCACCCACTCGCTCACCCACTCGCTCACCCACTCACCCACCCACCCACTCACTCACCAACTCGCTCACCCACTCACCAACTCGCTCACCAACTCACCCACCCACTCACTCACCCACTCACCCACCCATTCACTCACCCACTCACTCACCAACTCGCTCACTCACTCACCAACTCGCTCACTCACTCACCAGCTCGCTCACCAACTCACTAACTCATGAAGTCAGTCACACAGTCACCCACTCGCTCACCCACTCGCTCACCCACTCACCCACCCACTCACTCACCAACTCACTCACCAACTCACTCACCCACTCACTAACTCATAAAGTCAATCACACACCAACTCACCCGCCCACTCGCTCACACACCAACTCACCCACCCACTCAGTCAGCCACTCGCTCACCCACCCACTCAGTCACCCACTCACCCACCCACTCACTCACCAACTCGCTCACTCACCACCTCGCTCACTCACCAACTCACTCACCAACTCACTCACTCACTAACTCATAAAGTCAGTCACACAGTCATTCAGTCACCCACTCACCCACCCACTCAGTCACCCACTCAGTCACCCACTCACCCAACCACTCACTAACTCACCCACTCACTCACCAACTCACTCACCCACCCACTCACTCATAAAGTCACTCACACAGTCACCCACTCACTCACCAACTCACTCACCCACACACTCACTCATAAAGTCACTCACACACTCACCCACTCACTCACCAACTCACTCACCCACCCACTCACTCATAAAGTCACTCACACACTCACCCACTCACTCACCAACTCACTCACCCACCCACTCACTCATAAAGTCACTCACACACTCACCCACTCACTCACCAACTCACCAACTCAGTCACCCACTCGCCCACCCACTCACTAACTCATCAAATCAGTCACTCAGTCAACCACTTACCTACTCACTCACCCACTCGCTCACTCACTCACCCACTAACCCACTCAACCACTCACCCACTCACCTCACTCAGCCACCCAATTAACTACCCACTCACCCACTCACCACACTCACCCACTCGCTCACCCACTCACTAACTCATCAAGTCAGTCACACACCAACTCACCCACCAACTCGGTCACCCACTAGCTCACCCACTCAGTCACTCCCTCACTAACTCACCAACTCAGTCATCCACTCACTCAAAGTCAGTCACACACTCACCAACTCAGTCACCCACCCACTCAGCCACTCACTCACCCACCCACTCACTCATAAAGTCAGTCACTCACCGACTCACACAATCACCCACCTACTCATTCACCCACTCACTCATGCACGTACTCACCCTCTCAACCACTCACTCACCCATTCACTCACCCACTCACTGACTCATAAAATCACTCACTTACCCACCCACTCACTCACCGACTCACACAATCACCCACCCACTCACTCATTCACCCACTCAGTCATGCACGTACTCACCCACTCACCCACTCACTCACCCATTCACTCACCCACTCACTGACTCATAAAGTCACTCATTTACCCACCCACTCACTCACCGACTCACACAATCACCCACTCACTCATTCACCCACTCAGTCATGCACGTACTCACCCACTCAACCACTCACTCACCCATTCACTCACCCACTCACTGACTCATAAAATCACTCACTTCCCCACCCACTCACTCACCGACTCACACAATCACCCACCCACTCACTCATTCACCCACTCAGTCATGCACGTACTCACCCACTCAACCACTCACTCACCCATTCACTAACCCACTCACTGACTCATAAAGTCACTCATTTACCCACCCACTCACTCACC